AAAAAAAAAAAAGAGAGAGAAAAAAAAAGAGTTTGGAGAATGAGACGTTTGGACTTCGGCTAGAAACAGAAAGAAACTAGACTTGTTAGCAAAGAGAGGGGTGTCATTAGTTGCATTGATCGGTACATTCGTTAAAGAGACTGACAAACTATGGTGGTCACTTGGATTGATACTTGAAGTGTTTGAGTTCTTAGAATAAATTCGTCTTGAGTCCGGATGAATTATTTCGAGTTGTTTGAACTATGCATCTATGTGAGAAGTGTGAGGCCTTGAGCAAATATTCCACGTACTTGTTTTCTTATCCATCTATGTGCTTATAGTTCTAAGTTGTTTGGGGACAAACAACAGTTTAAGTTTGGGGAGATTTGATTGGTCGAAAAAAGTGTGTATATTATATATTTATTAGTGTATTGTATATGCTTACTTTTTATCACACTTATATATTTTTCGACTTATTTATTTATTAGATGAATTTAAGTACTATGATATATTTATGATTTATTTTCAGCATATTAAAGGAATTTTATTGATGGCGTGGCACCGAACGAGATTTGAGGAGGCTAGAACGAAGGTCCCCATACCAATCCAAGTTGGACCCAACACTTGCTTAAATTCGGGCCCAAGAATAAATTAATTAAAGGTCCAATAGTGGAGTATTTGGGCCAATTCTTTCTTAATTTAATAATCACTTGAAGAGGTTTGAAATAATGAGGCTTGGCATTTGGTAACATACACACGGAAATTGCATGACTTGGAGGGCAAGAGAATTATTTAGTGAGGAAATTATATATCATACTGGGGGGGATATTTATTGGCTGGACAGACGCCACGCTAAAAGCCAACAACAGAAAAAGGAAATCCTGGAACAGGCCGCCCCACATAGAGAAAAGAGCCGAGCAGAGGACTTAACGGGAGAAGCCGATATCTTGCGGAGGGAGACCGCACTCGCACACGAAAGGGGATAATCCTATTCTCTTTCTTTTGTTTTTATTTACTATGTTAGAGTAGATTTTCTTTCTAGTTTCGGGGAAGTCGAACCCTAAGATTGACTATGTTTTGATTGATTATGGTTATTGATTTTATTATCTTTTGGAATTGCTTGTGTTATTTTGAATAATTAACCATGATGT